TGGCCGTGAGGAACAGCTTGCTCTGGGAAGATCACAACTCTAGGATCTGGGGTACTCCTAAAATCAAAGCCCCCACCATGTCAACATCCATCCTGGCTGTTCTGCAAGAGTCCTGGGGAGCAGAAGCCTGGCCACGCAGTCCTCCAGGTCAGGGAGTCCCACAGCTGTGTTTGCTCCTCCAGGCGAAAGCAGGGAAATCTGAACCACGAAGGGGGCGTGGATCACCACACCCAGCTCCTGCTGACCTGAAGTTCCCACTGATCTTGTCTGCCCTCAGCCAGTCCACGCTGCAGCTTGTTCCCCTGCGCAGCCAGGGTGCGGGGAAAGCCTCCTGGCCAGCCCTGCAGCCTGGCGGGTGGCACAGCCGCTGGAGAGGGTCCCCAGCTCTGCGAGGAGCTTGGGGACGCTCACCACCAGCAGACGGCGAGGAGACATGGGTGAGCCGAAGGGCTGGCTCAACATGCACCGGAGGGATGCAGCGCAAGGCACAAAGGCTCTCCCATCCTGGCCTCTCTGCCCTGGAACGCAGCATGGGAACCGCTGCCCAGCACAAATCTGTTCCTCATTATCCGCCTTGGCTGCTGACTGATCCCAGCTCCGTCACCAGCCACTCGCTGCATGGCATTGGCCAGCTTGCATCCCATCAGCCGAGCAACTTCTGCACAACTTCACTAGCCAGCACAGTGCAGCAGACCAGGGCGAGGGCTGGCATCCACACCTCTGGAGGTAATTCTGGAGTGAAAACGAATCGTTCCCTCCACCAACACACAGAGGAGGGTCCCAGTGAAAGCAGGGAGTGGGGATGGCTGCTTCATGGGCAACGAGCAGGAAGGCAAACACAGCAGAATTCAGGAGAGGTGTTCAGTCTGATCACATCCAGGTGAGATGGATGCCTGGACAGATGGACAGGAGCAGGAAGGAGCAAAGAACGGACTGATGTGTCTCCAAAATTTGTGTACCCAGATATGATCAGACTGAACTCCTGAGTTCTCCTGCATTTTCCTTCCCACTGTTCTCCATGAAAACGTGAACACGGCCAAAGCCTCTGCCACGTTTTGTGCTTGCTGGGGCCAAGTGGGAGGTGAGAAGCTGGTCTCCCATTCACTAGCTTCCCACCGCTTGTGCCTGTATAGGCCATCATGAAAACATCACATGAGGGTGTCAGAAGTGCTCCAGAAATAGAGCAGAATGAAAAATCCTGCAAGGTTGCCAGTGAGTCAACAGCGCCCTTGCTGCAATGGAGAACGTGAAGCTGGCAGGTTTAAGGAAAGTATTCTTCTTGACTTGATACCCGTGAGACATAGCTGGGTACTAGCTCCAATTTGGGGCTCTGTAGAACAAGATTGTATAGCAGAGAGAACCAGCTTTAGGAAGACAAGGCAAAGAGGGGAGCTACCTATATGGGGGCACAGAGAAAACAGAGCCCAACTCTTCTCAGAGACACACTTGGAAGGACAAGAGGCAATGGGGACAAGCTGCACCAGGGGAAATTCTTGCTGGGCATAAGGAGAAAATCATTCTGTGCAAGAGCGGTGGAGCTGTGGTGTGGCTCTGGGACAGGGCAACAACTCCATCCTGGGGGACTTTCCAAGCGCAACTAGACAAGGCTCTGAGGTTCTTGCTGTAGCTTTGCCACCAGCCCCGCCTGGAGCCGGTCTTGGACCACAGAATTCCGAAGTCCCTTCCAGCCTAAAATTTACGTGCTGCTCCAACGCGCATTGTGCAATGGCAAGGTGGTGATGTGCAGTGCTGCTGCTTAGCTGACCTGGGAGATGGCCAACACCAATCCATCACCCGCAGCTTGGATCTTCCATCCAGCCGATGCCCCTGTTACCAGAGCTGCATTACATCCTCTGCTGACTTCACAAGTTCTGGTACCATGGAGAAGCTGAGCATCAGAGAAAGTAAATCACTGTGGAAAAAATGTGCAGGTTTAATGGCAGGCTCTGAGGAGACGCCTGCTTGCAAAATGACAGGTCTGTGATAGCCAGGCAGCTCTGGGATGGGGTTGCTTATAGTAACAGTCAGAGGGTTGTATGTTCTGAGTTACAGACAAGCAGCTGCTTTGGTTATGCCTTACTCTGTCCTGGAGAGGCAGAGGTTTGGGCCCATGTGTTCGTGGTTTGGCCCAGTTCTTACGTTTTTCCACTGAAGCACTTCAGTATTTTTAGGCTGAAAGAGACAGCTCTGTGCTATGCTGGAAGGATCAGAGCAGTCCTGTGCAGGCAGGACGCTGCCTGCTATCTCTCTGTGTAAAGTGAAATACAGAGATTAAAGTATAAGAATAAATACTGACAGAACCCTGTGGGGAAAGGTATAGGAGCCACCATCCCACAGCTGGGGTCGAGGGTGGGAAAAGGGAGCTCCAAGCTCACCAGCTGCTGGCTGGTGGTGTGGAGAACCTGTACATTAGCTGCCAGGCTCAGATAACTGTGTGAGACAGCAGCAACCAGCCCCAGAGTTTCCCAAAGCCAAGACGTCTGCTTTTTCTCCTCTGAGGACCTGAATGCCGCAGGCCCACTTCTTCCAGGAAACCAACCTGGCCTGCACAACCTGGTGCACTGCCAAGGTGATCGTGTGCCAGGAAACACTGGCAGGGACGTCCGGCACACAGAGCACAGCTTGGCCAGCATTGCTGGTCGGCGGGATTTGAGGCAGATGGGAAATTTCGGAAGGAGCAAGAGCTTCCACAAAGACCAGTGCAAAGCTCTTGGGGCTAGGAAGCTGTATAGGGACCCTGCCAAAAAGCACCTGGGGGTGATGGTAGGTGGCATCTTGTGAATCAAATAAACCACGTTTACTCTCCTTTAGGAGAAGCAGAGCCAGTAGATCAAGGGAAGAGCAAAGCCAGCACACACTGATGCAGGGAGGTTCCTGTGATGCAGAATACCCTGAAACAGACCCGTTAAAACCATATTTTTGGCAAAGAGAAAGGAAGCATAGACATCGGAAGATCTGGGCTCCCAGCACTCTGCTGCTGTGCAGGCAGCCATGACACCAGGCAGCAAGGGCCCGGCTGCCTGCTGGCCTCTTGCTGGCTGCTCCCCACGGCATGGCCTAACGACGCCTGCAGGCAAGCTTCTCTTTGGAAAGAATTTCACATTTTCCGCAAACATTATTGAAACTAGGAAATCCAATTAGACAGACAGAGTCTGAGAAGAGGGCTGTGGTCTCAGGTGGAGAAAAGCAGAAAGGCACAGGGATGCGGTGCCTGTGAGGGAGAACGGAACTGGGAGCTGCAGGAACCAGGATGTGCAGAGGTTCTCAGCAGAGAGACCAGACCATGACACCTGCTCCAACTCCGATTTATTGAACATTACAAAATACTCTGCATATATTTTCACATTAAAACAATATTCTTGCAAATAAGATATTAAGTCTTGAGTCATTTGTGGTGCCCATGGCTATGGAAAACACTGACCCAGCTAGGGACTTAGTATGGCCCGATATCAGAAATCAAAACCAGAATAAGGCATACCAGAAATGCAAAACTATATAAAAACCTTTTAAAAACCTCATGCTCATTTGGTGAGACAGGTACAGAGCAGAACAGCCTTTGCTGAGCCTTGCTAACAGTACCAGGGGGTACCACCAGCTTGCTTGCCCCACATTGGGCTCACTCACCCAGTGCATCTCAGCATGCCCAAGTAGCTGGAACAGACAATTAATTACCTACTTTGGGGCATTAAGAGCCCAAGGCCCCATTCTTCCCTAAGAGAAGCATCCCCAACCCTCCCATGTCGCCGATGCCCAGCTGCCATGCTCAGCTTTCGTGTGCTGAGCAGTTCTTGGGGAGCAGTTTGTGGCCCTTGGGGTCATACCAGGAATAATTCACTGTGTGGGCCATTACCACCAGGTCCCACCACCCTCTCAGGAGGTACCAGGGTTGGGTGGTAGGCAGGTGGTGGGACAGACCTTTGAAAGTGCACTCAGCTCTTGCCCATCACCCCTGTTCCTGGTGTACATTCATACCTGCCGCTCACTCCACTCCTTGCACCATGACCAGCCCTCGCAGCTGTTGGGGCCCAGGCAACTGGAGGGATTGGGACATGGGCAGGATGAATACCAAGTACGCTGTGCATGACAGAGGCCTCCTAACAAAGCCAGAAATCTGGACACTGCAGCTATTGGGAACACATCCAGGCAACAGGCGTGAGGCTGGCATAGCAGGCTGGCTGCTAGAGGAGTCCCTGTGCGTACATGTTGACTAGTCCAGCTCCTGGTGGAGCCAAACCCCAGGAGCACTGCTCCCAGTCCTGAGAAGGTCATGGCCTTGCCTCTGTGGTAGCTCCATAACCCGAGGAACGCAGAGCTGCCATGGCCAGGAGCCCATCTCTGGCCTCCTGGCTGAGCTCCATGCATGCTGTGAGGAACCACCACTGTAGCCACCTTGAAGTCAATGGCTCGGTCACTGGGTGTGGGTGGGCTCGCATGCACCAGCCACCGGTCCCAGCCCTCTCCCCAGAGGTCTGCTCATAGCCAGGCTGGAGATCAGCTCTTGCTCCTACACCTGCGAGCAGCCACAGCCCATAAGCCAGCACCTCTACACCTCAGGTCAGCACAGCCACAACAGGATGGGATCCCAGCCCTGGGAGGAACATCTATGGCCTCCCAGTGCTGTGAAGATGTGTAGGGACCAGAGAGAAAGAAAGAGGTTTGGGGTCTGTGCCTCACTGGGTGGACAGGGGCTGGTACCTGCTGTTGCAGCACGAAGCCAAATTATTGACCAGTTTTGCATCAGTAGGTGCATGGGCAAAGGCCACCTTGGAGTGCAGCTCTGGGAGGAGTACCAGGCTCTCCTGCCACTCCTGGAGTTTATGGAGACACACACAAACTTTACAATGCAAGACAGCAGAGCTGCCAGCGGGTCGCAGCCCGTCTGCAGCCCTCAGCCCCTTCCCTGTCCACAGTCTGCCTCAGAGGTGGCTTGCTCTGTTGAACATCAGCCATCTGGGCTCCGTGGCAGGCACCATCCTGCCCTGCTCCTCTGTGGCCATCAAAGGCTGCAGCTCCTGCTGCTCAGCGGCAACCGGGCTGCTGTCACTCTGCGACTGGCCGCTCTTAGAGACATGGCTGGGGAACTGGAAGCGGGAGCTCTGCTCTGGCATTGCCTGGCTCGCAGACTGGGGTTGTTCCTCCAGCACAGGGCAGGCAAATCTCCTGTGCTGAGGTCCGCTCTCGATGCCTGGGGGGGAAGCGATGCTCTCCAGGGAGGAGATGCTTTGGTTCCACGCCTTCTGCATATCCACTGGCACGATTTTGGTGGTCTCCAAGGAGACATAAACAGCCAGATCAGCCTGGTCTCCTTTCCATGGCAGCTCCTTCTCTGCCAAGGTGGGCGATGGTGGGATGATGCAGGGGCTGGGGCAGACATCCAGACTGCCTGGGGATGCAGAAGGAGGGACAGTCAGAGGGATCTTGCACACCTCTTGCTCTCTCCATGGGCCCTGCAATCATTGCAGAACCAACCACTACTGAATGGCCAGCTGGCCCAGGGATACAGAAGCCACCGGGGAGGCTCTGTCATGCCACAAAACCCAGTGATTCTCCCATTCATGCTCTGCTGATTTTGGTTTTGCCCAGCCCAAGGCAATTTTGCTCCCCAGCGGGAGGAAGGACAAGCTAACCAACATCAGCTGCCCTAGTGTGGGAGCATCGGTGCCTACCAGGATTTGTCTTTCCCTGCAGGACCTCATCGGTGGCTCGAGCGATGAACACAATCCCTTCATCATCTTCTCTCTCTGTCTCTGAGCTATCGCTCTCCTCCTCCTCTGAGCTGACCATCACCAGGACAGGAGCTGCAGCCAGATGGAGTGAGTTGGTTTGGAGGATGGGGCATCCTGTGGGGGAAGGACTGCACCCATGGGAGAAGGACAACCCCAGGTGCTGTCCTGCCACTGAGCCGGCAGTGGGCAAGCACAGCAGGCTGGTCCCATCCCACCCCACCAAGTCCCCTTGCCAGGACCTGCAAACCTCACCTGCCACCAGCCTTACCCGCCTCCTGCCAGGGGACATTTCTGTGTGTCTTCCCATTGGGTGCCTCACTGGTCAGAGAGGTGTTCTTCTGTGAAGGAAGAGACCAGCTGGGACCTGCCCCGTGCAAACCCCTAACCCCAACCCCGGTGCCCTGCAGGCCAGGGTAAACCTGGGGATGCAGATTCCCACCCCGGCTAGATGGCAGATGGCAGTCAGTGGTTCCTAGTCCTTAGGCATTGCGTCTTCTTGGCCCTACAACAAACAGCTCAGCTGCAATGGCTTCAAAAGCCTTCAAACGAGAGAAGACACTTAAGGCTCAACTTAAGGTGCAGTGCCACACTTCTGAGTCTAGATCTGCACTGATGTGCAGGCTATTTTATGCTGAGTGCTCTTGGAAAACCAACATGGGGCTCCTCCAGGGCTTGGGACTGCTTTGCCTAGGGAAGAGCCACCCAACAGCAGTGCTGGTGTGGTGGGGACACATGGACATATGATGCCCACGTGCTCACACGCAGCATACACAGGACAGAGATAAGATGAGCTGCTTTCCCTGCTGGCTCTGGAACTGCCGATGCCCCGCAGCACCTCACCTGCACCCCAAAGGACCTCACTGTCTGCAGCCTGGGGGAGGCCAAATCTCAGAGCTAGGGAAGGAGGAGGAGGTTGGGGGGCGCTTGCCTTTTTCCTGCCCTTTTCCTTCAGCCTGGCCTTACTCTTGGAGGAGCAGACATTGTGCTTTGTGGACTTGAAGGTCTCCAGCCGCCTCTTCATGTTCTGCCGGAAGATTTCTTTATCTTGGCGCTCTTGTTTATCTGGAGAGATGAAGTGACGGCTGTAGCTGGCCTTGTACTGGCCGAGGGAGAGGCAAAGAGACACAGGGTGAGCAGCTGGCCCCACAGAGCATCCTCCATCCCTGCTCTTCTTGCAGGCACTGCTACCCTCGGGGTCAGCTGCATGCCATGGCCAGGGAGCGCTCACCCGCCGGCGGGGCTTGTAGAGGCTCCCTCGCAGCACATGGTGCATGGCAGCATCCTCCTTGTCCCGGCGGCTCCGCACTGTGTCGATCACCTGCAGGTCCAGGCACGCGCCGCTCCCGCTCTCCCTTCTAGGGGAAGAGATGGAGATGGAAGGAGATGGAGATGAAGATGGCAGGGCTGGGCTCCATGCCCTCATCCTGCCAGCCCCCTACACAACCCACCCGCAGGGAACAGGGCAGCTGCCAGGGTCCAGCAAAGTCTGCCCAGGGGCTCAGAGGGATGCTCGTACTCACAGGAGGTTTGTGACTGATGACTCTGACATGGACGTGCGGCTGGGCATGGAGGGCAGCGCCAGCTTGGCAGCAGAGAGCACATGGCCACCCTGGGAGGTGGGAGGGCAAGGCTGGCATCAGGGCAGCAAGGACCCAGCTGGGCTGGGGTCATCCCCGCTGCCTGGCCAGAGGGTACGTGTGTGGCCATACGTGGTGGGGACCATCACCCCAGGCCAGCCAGCTCCTGTTGGGGCCATCCCACTGCCTGGTCCCTACCACACGCTCCTACCTGGTCAACAAAGCTGATAGCATCACGGATGTTCAGCTTATAGTAAACATCCCAGATCTCGTCCCGCAGCCTGTAGGCAGATTTCCGCATCAGGAGCTGGCTCAGGTACTTCTTGTCAAACTGTTCCCACCTGCCAAACAAGATGAAGACATGGGCGTACCACATGGTATATATAGGGTACCACAGCCAGGGTACCACACTAGGCTGAGTGTGCAAAGCATGGGGAAAGCAGCGTGGGCATTCAGAACCTGGCTGTGCCCAGGGACACACTGCCAGGGAGAGCAGGAGGGGAGGGGACACGCTGGCCCTTCATCCCTGCCCGAGGGGAAGCCAGACACCGGTGGGTCTGCAGGAAGCGATGGGAGCGGGACTGGGGCTGGCATGGCTGCCCCGCTGGAGTGCTTCCCCTCCAGGAAACAGGCTTTTTGCCTCCTTTTCCTGTCACCATGCCACAGATAAACACTGCCCAGGCTTTAACAGGGCTGTTCCCTGCTCAGCATCCAGCGCAGCTCCATCCATGGGGAGGCACAGGGCCATCACCACCACCACGGACACCCCACAGCCCCCCAGAAGCTCTGGCATGGGCAAGAAATGCCAGCTCTCGCAGCATCCCCAGTCGCACCTGCCCAACCTCGCTCTAGTATGCTTTTGGGACCCCAGTTTGCTGCACAACAGCAGCCATGTGGTCCCAGATGGACTGACGCACAGATATACAGCCTTCCTGGTCCCACTGCCCTTCCTACAGCAGGGGTGTCCGCCAGCGGGGACCCTGTGATGTCCCCATGACTGGCATGCTTCCCCCGTCTACCTCGTGGCTGGCAGAGGATCCTAGCTAAGAAACTCACTTGTCCCTTTTCGAAAAGAACTCATTTTCCCCCGCCAGTAATGGTAGCCGTGGTGCCCCACAATGTCCTCCACCGCTGCCAGGATGTGGTCAAAGGCCTTGAGCAAGGAGAAGAGGGTGAGAGTGGTGGCAAGGCTGCAGGTACCCCGGGGGTGTCGAGGCCGTGCATCGCCCTTGCCCAGCCCTGGCAGTGCGGGGAACTGGGCAGCCTCCGGTGCCAGCACCTACATGCTCATGCAGCTCCTCATTCAGTGTGGGCTTGTGGTGGTCACTGCGCTTCACCTTCAGCCATGTCACCAGGGGTTTGATGGTGAGGCCCTAGAATGGCAGGAGAAGGCAAGGGGAAGACTGGGAGGGCGAGAGGGTACGTGACTGGGGCACAGAGAGCAGAAGCAGCATGAAGTGACCAGGGACAGCAGCTGTGCCAGCAGCGTGTGCCCTTACCAACCTGACCCCCTGCACCCAGGAACTGGGTGATGCTCTTGTGTCCCAGCAGGCAGTGGGCATGTCGTATCCCCCAGCCTCCCTTCCCCTAGCCTCACATCCATCTGCTTTGTGGCTCCCCTTCCCAGGGCGCAGGAACCCCAGAGCCAGGGCCCAAGCAAACAGCCTGGCCAGGCACACACCATTGCTGCTCTTGGGGACAGTCCCAGGACAAGAGGCCAACAGGGAAACAACGTGGGGCGACAGTTGCTGTGGCAGTCCTGCATGCCAGCCTGGTGATGGATGGGGTTCCAGGAGGCACCGAGGACCAAAGGTCACTTGAAAAGAGGTACTTGCCCCAAGCACATGTCCCCAAGCACCTGCCTGGCCCCCCAGAAGGCAGCACTGGAGGAGGGCACAGTGCCCATCCTCACCTGCACAATGACAGTGAAGAACACCACCACAATGGTTGTTGCCACAAAGTAGTCCTTGGCTTTCACTTTTGCCCTGTCCAGCAGGATGACAAGGGCGAAGGCCACAGCTCCACGGAGGCCACCGTATGACATGACCACCTGGTCGATTCTGTCCAGGGGGATGAGGCGGAAGCGGTTGAGCACACAGGTCTGGAGGACAACACCTGGGGAAGAACAAGGAGAGCCTTGGATGATGGCAGAGCCCTGCCTGATCCTGGAGACAGGGCAAAAGCCCAGCCAGGAGCCGTGGCTGGCCCTATGCCCCAGACTTTCTTGGGGGATACTGCTTTTTGGCATGAAAAGGGCTGGGTGCTACCAGCTAGAAGCACAGTGGGGCAGACTGACCCACAGCTCTGAAGAGGAGAATAAAGAACAGGGTGCCCAGCACCAGTGCTGTGTCCCATGCCCACTTGGAGGTGTCCACAGCCGAGATGCCCAGAAACATGAAGATGATGGTCTCTGAGCTGCTAGCCAGTGTCTTCATGGTGTACTTAACAGTGGTGCGGGATTTCTGGGAGATGTTGGCTTCCACATACTTCTTGCAGCAGATCCCACAGAAGGTGACTCTGCAGAGGGGCAGAGGGAGCTGGCATGACCCTACAGCAGGATGAGGAGTGGGTCTGCTCATCGCCTCTTGCTGCTCAGCATTGCACACTTGACTTTCTGGGCCCCCCTGGGGGACACCCCAGTACTCACGCCAGGATGGAGGAGAGTGAGACCATCTCGGCAGCAAGGTACGCGATGTAGGCCAGGAGGAAGATGAAGAGTGGCTCGATGATGCGCACACGCTTGGTGAACCGTGTGATCAGGGCCAGGAGGAAGGCGAAGAGCAGTCCCACGGCCGTGCCCCCAAGGCTCACCAGGAAGAAGGAGGCTGGTGGAGGGAGAAGACTCATTTGCGCCATAAGCAAGCAAGCCCACCTCCTGTGCCCCACAGCCATACCACGCTGGGCTGGCCAAGCCCTGTGCTCCTACCCGGGTCCCTACCAAAGCATCCCATGATGACAGCCAGCGTGTGACCACTGGGATGGAGATGATAGAGCTGTGGTTCTCTGTGCCCACCCCACAGTACGACAGCACCCGTGCTTACCAGCCCCACTTTCACACTGGAGGAAGAGGTGGGAGCGGCTGGTGGGGTACGTACTCACCTACCCCCTTCACGTAGTCCGTGGCATGGATGTGCGCTGGGCCCAGCTCCACAAAAGAGTTGAAGACCTTGTACAGTACCTGCAGGCAAGGCAAATCCCTTGGGGAAGGCAGGGTATTGCCCTGCCTTGAGAGGGGCAGCACCTGCGGGCAGGATGGAGGCATCACCTGCCTGAAATCTGCCAGGCAACACAGCTCATCTCAGCAGGCAAGGTCCCGCAGGACCAGGAGAGAGGAAGGACCAAGAGATCATGGCATGGGTCTGCCCCCAGCTTGGGGATGTTACCTGCATCCTCTGCCTATCCTGGAGGACTCCAGCACCCTGGCCCACATCGGGCTCCGCATTAGGGGCCCCCAAGCTGCAACTCACCACAGTGACAGCATCGTTCAGGAGAGATTCGCCAAACACGATGATGAAGAGGGTCTCATTTACATGAACCTCTTCGAAGACGGCCAGCACTGCCACGGGGTCCACAGCTGAGATGAGGCTGCCGAAGAGCAGGAAGTCCATCAGGCCAGCTTCAACGCCTGGATCTGCTAGGACAGAAGGACCAAGCTCAAGCAAACCATCTGCCCCAGAGCCCCTGTCACCAGGCTGAAACAAGCCTGTCCCTCATCTGCTCCTGGTGACTTGGCTGCAGCATCCCAACTTGGAGTGCAGTGGGCTGAGACCAGGAGTGATCCCAGACCTCCAGGGTCCCCCAGGTGAAGCAGGGCTCAGCACATCCTTGCTACAACATGAGGGGAGCAGGCCTTGGATATCCCTCTTGGAACCCAGGTGCGTCGCTGCCCCTCGGGCAGGTATGTACTGAAGGAGGCTCAGCAGCCTCATCTCAGGTCCAGGCATCAAGCAGTCCCTTGGGGCCCAGGAGAGCTCAAAACACAGCCCAGGCCAGCCAGGGCTAGCAGCTCCAGCCGAGGATAAGGAACACGGCAGCAAGCCAGCAAAACTAGCCAAGGTCAGTGACAAAAATAGCAAAGACACGAGTCAGCCCAGTGCCAAGCAGAATTCATTTGTCCTGCACACTTGACAGTCCTGCCAGAGCACCATTCCCAGGATGCCAGGACCCTGCTCCTGCTATAATTCCTGGGAATCAGGCAGTGGGCTCTGAACTTGGGGGTGTTTTGCACCTCTAACCTATCTTTTGGGGATGTGGCCCAAGCTGGGCAGCCCTGTGCACCCACCCATGAGCCCAGCTCGGTGCAGCCCCCAGAGCGCAGTGCCGGTGGTGAAGGAGTTCCAGAGCGTGCCCACCACTGCATAGGTGAGGATGGCACCGATGTTGTCGAAGAACAGCCGGCTGGGCATGAAGTAGCCTGAGTCTAGGACGATGGGGGGCAGAAGGAAGAGGAAGAACATGTTGGGCTCCAGCTGGTACTCGGCTTTCTTCGCCACGGCCAACACAATGCCCCCCAGGCCCAGCCCCAGCAGGATGAGGAGGCAGCTCTCTGGGACGATGGACGTCACCTTCCTTGACAAGTGGAAAACTAGAAGGAAAGGAAGAATGAGAGCATCAGCTGAACAGGCACATGGACACAGCATCCCAGATCCACAAGCTCCACAGAAAGGCTGGCTGATGCATGATGGACCCCAGGGAGGACAAGGGAGCACCGAAGGCTGCTTCATGGCCATGTGTGTGCAGAAGACCTTCCAGCTAGCTCTCAGGTCAGGATTTCAGGTTCCTGGCTCTTTGGGATCCCTCCTCTTCCTCAGCCACTGTCTAATAAGCCAAGCAGCAGTGCATTTTGCTTTTCTTGGCCTCTGGTATCTGCACTTAAAGGATAAAAGCAGCCAGTAAGCACATTCACATTTCACAAGCAATGTTGGCTGCTGTTCAAGTGAAGGCATCCTGGTTCACCAGGACACGTTACCCCACTCAGAGACAAGGATGCTCAGCTCTGGTGACGGGGTGACCTTGTTTGCAGCCGTCTGAGCAAGCAGGCAGAGCAGCATGCAAACCACTGCAGCACAAGCCAGCCAGCCGGTCTCTGTGCCAGAGCACAACCTTCCTCAGCACTGGCTAACCTACCTGCATGCACAAAATGGGTGCATGGGAGCTGCAGATCTAGAGATGCTTTGAATAATCAGTTTATTCCATGCGAGGTTTGGACTAAATCTTAAACTGCCATGGAACAGGATATATTTTTTAAAGCAAGAAGTGTATGCCCTGGTATTCATCCATCAGCAATGTGGCAGTGAGCCTGCAGCTCAGGCACAAGCCAACGGGACCTCACGCCAGTGAGCACAGAGGACTCACTCCTCCAGGCAGCCTTGTCCCCAAGGCCAGGGTGTTCTGTGTAATCCCAAATCATCCCAGCTTCCAGGTGGACAACCCCCCATCCCTGCAGATTTCTCCTCCCTCTTGTAGGGTTCTGTAATTTTGCTACCCCCCAAAAGGGCAGTGCTTGGGGAAAGGCTGTTGAGGGTCACAGCGGTTTTGCCCCCCTGCATTGCTGAGTTCTGCCATTGCTTGTGACATCCAGCCCAGCTCTGTAGCATGACTTGGCCATCGGACGAAGAAACCTTCTCCTGGGGGGTGGGTTCCTCCACGTGCTTCCAGAGGCACCTCTGTCCTTGAGCACCCAGCAGGTACAAAGGACATCAGGGCAGCCTCTGAGCCATCACTTGGCTGCAAGCCCAGCCCTGCTGCCAACCCAAACCCAGTCCCTAAAGCTGTTTAGCTGGATTAAAGGTGCCCGTTGCTTGTGCCAAGTCATCCCACCAGAAGGAAAGCTGTGCTGTGGTCACACACCAGCCCTAGCTCACTTGGCTTCTCCCTTCCTTAGGAACCCCCACAGACAGACAGACCATAAGGTCTGCCTAGCCCAGGGTCCTGTCTCCAGTGGCATAGACCTGGAGAGGGGCCCAGCAACAGGCAGTACTTCATCGGTAGGCTTCCATGTCTCTGTGCCCTTGTCATTCTTCTCTGAACCTGTCCCAGTCCTGCTCTATCCTTTCTGGGACTGGTCCCAGTCTCCTGAGATGCAGACACCCTGGGAACCGAGGTTATGGCTTCCTGATGTTCTTCCTTTCTCCTTTCCTAGCACCTTAGTTGATTTGCTTTCCTTCACTGCAGCTGAGCACTGAATTAGAGGAGATAATGCAATGTCAAAGATCTGGCTCTTTAACCAGAGACAATATCTTTGTGCCCCCCACCAAACATACAGGCTAAGGGCTGCTTTTCCTCTCATTGAGACCTTCACAGTGACCTGTGCTGCTCCTTGGCACGGTAAGCCCTGTCTGTGCCATCCTGGCAAGCCCCGGCACTGCTCATCTGCCATAACATGCCGGGAACACTGCCGCAGCTGGCAAGGGCAGAGCGGCCAGCACCGGTGCACATGATCTGCAGCTCCATCACCAACCACCTCAAGGGGAAAGAGCTGCAGAGCACCCGTGGCCAAGCCTCTGGCATGATCTGCAGCCAAGCCCCCCAGCTGCAGAGCCCAGGGCGTCCACCCTCACGCCCAGCCACCTCCACTTGCTGTCAGGGGCTGCAATTCAGCCACTCAGGCAGTGGCAATACGGACATTATAGTCCTCCAAGCAAACCCACAGCCTGGAGAAGGGCTGGCTGGGGTCCAGTCCAGCTGAATTCCTGCTAAATGACTGCACAATCCATGGCAAAGCCCTGTTCACCCCACACGAGCCCAGCGAAGACAGCACCAGTGGGCGAACGGCACTCGCTCCGTGCCTGCGGCAGGCTGTGAAACCGCTTCCCACCCACGGGAACAAAGCTCTGAAGTTTTCAAGAAGGGAACGAAGCATCCAGCCCCTTTCTGCATGCTCGGGAGCATTGCCAAGATCCCCACTCCCCACTCCGGCAACCCATCTGCGCTGCCCATGCTGCGGAGATACTCCCTGGCTGGCTGGAGAGACTGAGGAGAGCCCACAGAGATGCTATGGGTGTCATCCGTCATTCTTTCCCCAGAGCCAAAAACTTGGGCAAAGAAGTGGGCAGCATCAATGGGAAAGACGCTGCTTGTCCAAAAATCCTCTGGCTGAGGGGGGGATGCTGCCATGCTCCCAGGCAAATGGCAGCACACGAGATCCTCTGTGCCGCAGGGAGCAGCCAGCGGGGATGGGTGGAACGAGCTCTAATTTTACATGAGCTAGTCAAGGATTTCAGCATTAAAGGTTCCCACAGCAACAGTAACTTAGCCACATGTGAGTTAACTTCAGAGCCATAATCCACACTCAAGGCATCCATAACACAGGATTTGCCATTGGGAGGACTCGGAGCCAAAACCTGCTCCGCTCCTCAGGCACTTGGGAAATGGTGAAACACCTAAACCAAGACACAAGGAGCTGGGGACAGAGGTGACAGTGCAAGGAGAGAAGGTTGTGACCCGTGGAGACGCTGCTGGGTGGAAAAACATCCATCTACCAGCAAACCCCTGCCCACGGGGCAGCTGTGGGTAAGGAGCATGTTTGGGGCAATGTTCGTCACTTCCCTCTTCCCCCCATCCCATCCAAGCAGATCTGTGCTCTGACCAAGTACGCAAAAGGCAGCAAAGCCCGGATGATGCCTCGCTGTGCAGGAAGGCAACACCCAAGCCAGTTTCTCCCCGCCCCAAGTGTCTGCTGGCTCAGGGCACCCGGGCATCGTGACCACTTCCAAGAACAGAGCCCGCAGTGTCATTTCCCCATCACCCAGGCGTGGGGCCGCTTCCTCCCCTGCAGTCACAG